ATAAAATACTTGAAGCCAGGCTAGTGAGGTGGCACATCAGGTAAAAGTGCTTATGGCACAAACCTGATGGCAGGAGTTTGATCCCTGGAACCCATCATGGAAGGAGAAATCTGACTCTTGAAAATTTCCTTTGACCTGCACATGTTCACTGTGTGATTTGTGTTCACATATACAACACACACGCACACACACACTCACTCACTCACTCACTCATAAATAAATAAATTAATTAAAAGTTAAAAATTTAAAGTCCCACTTTGTAACTAAAATTCACTTTGTTTTGGAAGCTATTCTCTTTGTTGCACTCCCTATATTAAGCATAATGTAATAGCTACATTATATTTGCTGAGTGCTTACAATGTACAAAGAAAGCTCTGTTCTAAGGGTGCATGAACCATAGTAACTCACTGAATCTTAATAATTTTATTGAGGAGATATTGTTTTATCATCTCTTCTTCTGGAGAAGGAAGTTGAGGCTTGTCCCAAGTCATTCAGGCTGTAAAGTAGTAGCTAGGATTCCAGGCTCTTAATATTTCATGCTGCCTCTCTAGTATTATTTTAACACAACTTATTGACATGGATAGGTTAATACCAGCCCCAGACTATGATATACTTAGTCATATATTAACCTGTAGAGTAGGAAGTGCTGTGATCTCCAAAAGATGGTTTCCATATTACTACATGACTCTGATATTGATGGAGAAATGACTTGTCTGCCCAGATTGAGGTGGAATACAATGCCATGTGATGCCACTTCTAGACATGAATAGCTTGGGAATCTGGGTGTGGTAAAGAGCATAGTGGTCACCCAGTCCTACAATAGATGCCTAGTCAGCATCTGTCCTCTTCCTCCATAAAGTCTCTGTTAAGGTCTCCAGCAGTCAAGATAAGGTAGCCCTCAGTCTTCTCTCAGTATGGGATTATCTGAATTCTATTTCTTTTCCTATCCGACTATCATTTTAAATCTCCTAGTCTTTCCCTAATGTGGCATAGATTGTATATGCCAAACTCCAATAAATAGGTCATTGGAATTATGCTATTTCTTCTAAATTTCCCATACGATGCTATTCTCATACCTCTCCCTTCACCTCCCACTCCCTGTTTTCTGGGAGAGGGTTTCACTACACAGCCCTGACTGAACTGGAACTTGCTATATAGACCAGTCTGACCACCAACTAACAGAGAACCTACTGCTTCTGCCTCCTGAGAACTGAGATTAAAATTTTGTGCTGCCATGCCCAGCATCACATTCCATTTAAGTCCAAGAGAAAAACAATGTTGTTTTTCACTATGAAAAAATCTTCATCTCTGATGTGAAATGTGCACATTTCTGGTATGCATTTAGAACATTGCATTCTTGTAATGCCTTATGTGGAAAAGAGCAGTGTGATATTTATTGCTTTTAAAATGGGAAATTAGAGCCAGTGAGATGGCTCAGCAGTTAAAAGTACTTGGTGCTAAGCTTCGTGACCTGAGTTTGATTCTGGAACCCGTGTGGTGGAAGGTGAATAATGACTCCCACATGTTGTTCTCTGCCACATGTGCCGTGATGCACACATGTACACACACACTCTACCTAGTTCATATTAGTAACTCATTCTCAAAGAAAATTGTGTATAAATATATATAGGAGTCATAGATTTTTTTGATATAAGGGACGTGTAGCAAGTAATTTATAAGTGATAATAATGTGTAACACATTTCATTGCTAATTTCATATAGATGATTGATTCTTAGAGTGCTTTCGATTTTTGTTGAGTTCTTTTATATGTAGTCAACCTACGGGTGATACTCAACCATGATATGACAAAATTAGACTTCAAATAAATGTTTGATTAAAATCCAATTCAGTGGAGAAATTGCTTGCATCAGTGATGAGCAAACATGGTGTTAATATGGTACTGACCCCAACATGGAAAACATTGGAACTGCATTCAATAACTTTGTTCAACTAAATGAAAATTTTTGAATACTAAAGGAATTTCTCTTCAAGGTTTTTCATGCCGTAAATAATGTAATAGCTACACCCAATGGCTTGAAATTTAGTCTGTGTTATTTTTTTCTCTATCATTTTCTCAATCAAAGACAATCTAAGTATAGACAACATTCTCTGAGCTTTGAAAAGTAATAGCTTCATTATTACTAAGTTCAAAATATTTCATTGAAATTTCATATTTGTAGTGGTTTGAATAAGAATGGCCCCCAGAGGCTCCAAGTATTTGAACATTTTGTCTCCAATTGGTAGTACTGTTTTGGAAGGTCTTGGAAGGTGTAGCCTTGCTGGAGGAAGCATGACACTGGAGGCAGGCTTAGAGAGTCTTAAGCCTTGTTGGATTTCCAGTCACACACTGCTTCCTGTGCCTGTTTGAAGATGTGAGCTGTTCTCTTTCTGTTCCAGCCACCTCTGCTGCCATGCCTCCCCTCCATGAAGGACTTTTGCCTCTTTGGAACCGTAAGCTAAATAAATTCTTGCTTGGTCACGATGTTTTATCATAGAAACAGGAAAGAAACTAGAACAATATTCAATCTATGCCTTATTGAGAAGTAGCTTCATTTCATTAAGTTTTGGTGATCTTCTAGTTTGGTTCTGTTATTCATTTTTAGTTTAATTCCATTCCAATATGTAACATGTAGAGCTGTGTTGTTTTTTTAAAAAAATCATCAAATAAGTGATTTCATGAAATGAGAGTAGCTCCTGAAGTTGTTATATGTGGAATTGTGTACTATTCCAGTTAGGTCAGGTTGATTTTCTCTATTCCATTAGTTATTGAGAGAAGTATATCAAAATCTCCTGTTTTGTGGGCTTTTCATTTTCTGATGTTTTCCCTACCTGTTAGATATATTTGAAGCTATGCTGTCAGATGCATACAAATTCCAATTTTTTATGCTTTCCTGCTGACCATTTACTCATGCAATGTCTACTTCTTATCCAAAGTAATGTTTTTTTGTCCTAAATAATGTATTTTATGTGTTATCTGAAATTGTCATAAGTATGTAACATTTCCTCTGGTTGCTTTCTGTTTTCTTGTTTATTCTTTTATGATAAAGTACAAATCTTGTAAGTAGCAAACGGTATTTTAAAATCCAAATAGACAACATTTGTCTTTACATTAGAGTATATTTAGTTCATTAATAATACAAACATTTTCTACATTTTTTTCTTTCCATTTTCTTGTCTTAATTTGCTTAATCAGAATTAATCAAGGTTTTATTCTTTTTTGCCTATTAGTTGCACTCTTTTGTCTCTTAGACTTTAGAGACTTAAAAATGCCTTAGTCAAAATAGTTACTTTTGGGCTGGGGAGATGGCTCAGTGGGTAAAGTGCTGGCCATGCAAGCATGAGGAGCTGACTTTGGATCCCCAGAACCCACATAAAGATGTGCATGGTAGCACGTATCTGTAATCTCAGTGCTCCAGTGATGAAATAGGAGGGGAAGAAAGACTCCCTGAAGCTCGTGAGCCAGATACCTTGATGAACAACAGAGAGTCTGTTTCAAACAAGTAGGAAGGCAAGAACTGATACCCAAGGTTGGCCTCTGACCTTTACATGCACACTGATACATGTGTGCCTGCACTGATACCCAGAAACATGCTAATACATATCATATACACACAAAGTTAAAAAATTGTTACTTTTATCCATTATTGTTTTTTTTCTATTTCCACAATGTAAGAATAAGCTCTCTTAAAGGTGGAGTATCTATGACTCCAGGATTCTGATTTAAATCTAGCAATCTCTGACTATAACTCAACTCTCTTTCCATTACTCTGACCTGCCAATTATACAGAGAGAGAAATGCAGCCCCCAAATAATCTCAGTACTTCCCGTTGGAGCCTTAACAAATAAATTCTTTCTCTATGCTACTCTATCTCCGGTTTGGTGAGATATTCATATTTCACTGAGAGTTCTTCAGTTGCAACATGCCCAGACATTGTTTCCCATGTTGTTCTTCTTTATAGAACTGGTTTCCACATTATTATTCTTCACAGGGTGTAATTTTGGAAGCTCAACAAAGACTAGTCAGTTTCACTAGAAGACAATCAGTGTAGAAGGGTGCACACTCTGCACTGGTTCTCAGTAAGAGAGAGGCAAATAGAATGCTGAGACACTAGAAGCAATTTTGAAAAGGCAATTAAGGAAGAAAAACCTATTAAAATACCAGTAATAGAATAGAAAGATTCAAGACACGTGATTTGGGAACTGCTTTTAGCAAATGAACTAGTTCTTATTTTAGATCTGATATTAAAATTAAAGAAATTTTCAGACAATGCACAGTTACATATATATGACATAAGTTTATAAGACCAGATGCATATTTGCATATTTGATTCTCATTTACTTGCTATAATTGTATGATATTAGTAATAACAAAAATAAAAAATGACATTACACACACACACATATGTACAGATAAAGAAGTAGTAGTCCTGGGGCTGGAGAGTTGGCTCAGCAGTTAAGAGTACTTGCTGCTCTTGAAGAGGAGGACCCTGGCTTGGTTCTTAGCACCCATGTGGTGAGTTACA